AGCAGCAACTTAGGGAGAAACTTTATTTTAGCTCACAAATCCAGGTTACAGTTCATCATAGCAAGGAAGTCAAAGTAGCAAGAACTTGAAATGGCTAGACACTTCACATCCATGGTGAAGAGCAGAGAAAAATAGATGTGTACATGCTCATTTGTGCTTACTCAGTTTCTCCTCTCTTAAATAGCTCAGGATCCCCTACCTAGGGAATGGTGAATGGTGCCACCCACAGTGGGCTGTATCTTCTCAGTTAAGGCAGTCCCCACAAAGATGTACCTATAGGCCAACCCAATGTAAACAATCCCTCATTGAGACTCTCTACCCAGGTTAACTCTAGATTGTGGCAAGTTGACAAGGCTAACCATCACATTTGGGAACCCAGCTTGTCAGTGTGACTCCATTTCTTCCAGTTCTGGAAGCTACTTTGTATGGAGAGGGGAATGGGAGCTATAGGAAATCTAACCCAGGGCCTTCTGTATGCTAAAGACGTATTGTACCACTGGGCCACACACCCTGCCCTTCTACTTCTGTTAATACGTTAGCTTTATGGTATTGGTTACTCACACAACTAGTTGGTTGCTGTTAAAAGCTAACGGTGTTTTACAGTTGGTTTTCTTATATGTAAGTATGAGAGCAGGCTACATCTCTGGGTCACAGGGTAGCTGTTGGGGTAGGGAGCAATTCAGAAGAGAGAAGAGGCTCTGTGTAAAGATTTGTTGGGATCATGGAGGTGGGAATATATGTGTAAAGGGAGTTGAGTCATTAAAATGTGGGAGTGATGGCTAATAAAATTAGTCCAGCAAGCTTTATTAAACACAGGAGCCCAATAAATAAATCCTTGTGGAATTCCATCTAGTTGGCTTTGGTCTGTTGTCCAAGTCCGTAAGTGTCCTGCAGTTCTAGTGTTAGCTCAGCATCCACATTACAGACCTTGCCTGCCCTCCCCTTGCTTTCCCACACCCTAGGAAGAGCAGAGTATGTTACTGTTTCAGCTTCTCTGGTCTCTTAAGTTGTTCAACTCTGTCCCGTCCTCGGCTCTTAAGAATTACTGGGATATTGCCATCAGCCAAGAAGATGGTGTAACATGGTTTCTTAGCTTGTATGAAGACATTAGCCCTTTGGTTTCATTTTACCAGAACAAAGTCATGGTCTTGAATATGTGTTTTAAGAGTATATATACCAATCTAGGTAGTCATGTACCCTGGCTTCTCTGATTACCCTCTGCCATTGTAGCTCCGCCCCCAGTGAACTCTCCTGGCCCCTTAACCTCAGCTTCTGACCCACAAAGGTACTAGTTTACCTATCTCAACTCTGAGTTGAGCAATAAGCTGTATTTTACATTTGAAGCAGCCCCCTTTCTATATTTCATTAAAAACTGATACCCTTTAAAAAAGTTTCTGTGTGAGCAAGAATTTATACCAAAGCATATGTATATGTATCACTTTATTGTAATATTTAATGTATGATATCCAGTTTTGGCAGCACAAATTAAAAGAAATACATACATACATACATGCATACATGCATACATACAGGTTGTTACATAGACTGGGTTTTTTTTGGGGGGGGGGATTGCTAATATGAGCAGGAAGCAGCACATCAAAAAGAGAAGAGGAAAAGCTGAAAGAAATAACTGTCTGGTTATAGCTATATATTTCTACATTGTTATATGAGGGTTTAGTTCTAATGAAGTCGTTTTTTATTGAAAATAGATTTTTTTCATACAATATGGTCTGATTATGGTTACCCCTCCCCCAACTCCTGCCAGAGCCTCTCCACCATCCACCCAATTTTTTTTTTTTTTTTTTTTTTTTGGTTTTTCGAGACAGGGTTTCTCTGTGTAACTTTGTGCCTTTCCTGGAACTCACTTGGTAGCCCAGGCTGGCCTCGAACTCACAGAGATCCGCCTGGCTCTGCCTCCCGAGTGCTGGGATTAAAGGCGTGCGCCACCACCGCCCAGCCCATCCACCCAAATTTAACTGGAAAGCAGCATATAGTTAAAGTAATCGAATCAGAAATGTAGACTTGGCCTAGACACATCTACCCCCCTCCTCTTTGTGATATGCATTTGCCTTTGTCTTGGTTAGCTGGCAGATTGGCATCAGATACTCCTCTGTTTGCATACCATTGTCAACCAAAAGCCCCAGACCTCTGAAGAAATGGACCTGTTTGGGTTGCTCATAAGACTCAGTGGGTGGAAATGCAGGGGATATGGGATAGAACATCCCCAAGTAGAAGAAGAACACAAAGACAAACTCCTGGAGCATCTTTATTAAAAAGGACAGCAGAACCTGGTGCGCCAGAGTATCTGCAAGTCTGTGGCCATCTCAATTTTTATGAGTCACACTGAATGGAAAGTCCTACATCATCTTGTTACATAACGCATCCTGTTTTATAGATTTAAAACAGTAAGCAAATCAGAAAGTCTGCTTTTTGTTGTGTTCAGGGAACACCCCAGTGTTCCATGGATTCAGTGTCTGTAATTTTGAGTGTAAGGATCCCCTGAAACCCCCGCCTGCTTCTCTGTAGTTGAATGAATCTAGTCTTAGGTGAAGATGAACTAAGGTGGGGATTAACTAAGCGGAATAAAAGAGAGAACTTTCAGTTAACGGGACAGTGACATTTCATAATCTAAACCACGCTTGACCCTGTGTAAGCTGCCACTCCTGTGTCGTTTTAGGCTCAAGGTTAGTGGGGCATGCCAGGAAGAGGTTGGTTTCTTACTTAGGATCTCCTGATGGTTTCCTGTCACAAGCTTACCCAGCACGCCTCAGAACAGATATAACCGCACATGCTGTGCATAGAATGTTCCGGAATAGTGATTCTTTTAGACTCAGCAATCCACTAGAGGAATGACACTTACACTTTCAGGCCTTCAAGACTGGGTGGATATTCCTATACCTTCTTGTTGCATAACACATCCTGTTTGATAGCTTTTAAAGCAGTAAGCAAATCAGAAAGTATTCTTTTTGTTGAATGCACAAACACCCCAGTCTTTCATTGACGGTAAAGCCATTGATTTGTAATTGTTGGCTGGAGAACTATTTTAGTGCATCGAATGTTGTTGCTCCTGTAGGTAGTATCTGTTGAGTTTTAGGTATTTTTCTAGAGAATATAGATTAGTTAAAAGAGAAAGTCAGATATTTAGTTTCTTTTGTGAGACCACTGCCAATAGTTTTTTTTTTATTATTATTTTTAATTTAGTAGCAGTGTCCTTTCAAAATTACCCAGTGGAGTTTTTCATGACTCTCCCTATAAATAATATAGTGCCCTCTAAATAGTGGTTGTTGTTTTGTTTTATGCTTAGATTGAACCCAAGGCTTCATGCATGCCAGCCAAGCACTGCACTCTGAGCTGTGCATTTTTTAGCTTGCAGATTGCTACCACTATCCCTCTATTTGCATACCAGGGTCAAGCAAAGACCCCAGACCTCTAAACACATAGACCCATTTAAGTGGCTCACAAAAACCAGTGGGTGGGTAGGACTATAGGTAATGTATTAAACTGGCAAGTAAGATAATTTTTAATTTGGCAAGGCTCTAATTGTGAAAGTATATTTTATTACGTACATATTTCTTTGTATATTTTCAGAAGTCAGCCAACTTCATGTGACTCATTTCTTAATCATTTTATTTGTGGGCTTAGTTTTTATTAGGGTTGGCTTTAGAAATATTGGACTGAGGATATAGTTCAGTAGTAGAATATTTGCCTAACATGTAGGATGCTCCAGTTTCAATCCCCAGTACCCCCAAATATATAAATAGCTTTATTTTATTTTATTTGGGTACTATAGAATTTGTTTATTTAAAGCATGCAACTGCTTTTAAGTATATTCATTTGGTGGTTCATCTATCACCCCAATTAACTTGAATCTCCTTTATAAAGAAAAGGGAAAGCTGGCCTGGAGAGATGGCTTAGTAGTTAAGAACAATTGTTCTTGTAGAGGACTCAGGTTCAGTTCCCAGCACCCACATGATTTGTAACCATCTATAACTCCAGTTCTAGGGAATCTAACACTCTCTTTTGACTCTGTGGGTACCAGCCATGCACATGGTGTACATACATACATGCAGGCAAAGTGCACATACACATAAAATAATCAAATAATTTTTTTTTTTTTTTTTTTGTTTTGTTTTTTGTTTTTTTTTTTGAGACAGGGTTTCTCTGTGT